TTTAGGGGGTGGAGAGCTTTATACAAGTAGGTTGCCAAGATTACTCTAATGGTATTTTTCAGTGAGGATTGATTTTTCCGCAGATAAAAAGCCTTCTTGTCAAACCCACTAACCCAAACCAAAGAGCAAAGACCGAATAAAGATCTGGAATCTTCCACCAACCAACCAACCAACCTGTCAACCAATCAACCAAAAATGCTTATCAAGATAACGCCAGTTGCTTTCAACTAAGGGTTAATAAGCAAGTGAAATACATCAGTGCATTTTCAAGGAAAACTGCAGACAAGAAAAATACCAGGGCTTTCAAGTACCTTCCAAGCAATTTGAGATGTTTTATTCACATCATGAAGACAGTTTTACCCTGGAGTATTTCCTATTCAGAAAACACTCGAGGAACCTGCTCTTTTGGGCTGCTTCTTGACATGGAAAAATTTTAATGTCACTGCTTTACCTTTGCTTTGGGATTTTGCCTCTTCAGCCAAGTTTCCACTCTCCTACTTGTGCCTGGCTGTTTGATTTGCTCACTGCAGCTGTCCAAGCCCCTCCCTCCTTCCCTTGCTTCCATCTACATTTTCTCCACAAAATGCATTTACTGTAGTCCATTTTCTAATGTTTGTCATTCCTACTGGGCTTTTTCATTTTACTAAATCAATCAGTAAATGTCTGATGTGTGTAAGGCATTGTGCCTGTCATGGCAGGAGCAACAAAGTGACATCAGAACTTTCCTCAAGGAGCTTGCTGTCTAATTGAAGATTTTCAAGCCAGGAAGTGCTTCTCGTATTTGACCTTCCCTTTCGATTCCTGTTACTCTCTTTGGCTAGGCCCTGTTGACATCACAATAGTTTCCTAAATCACCCACCCCTCCAGCTTACCATTACCCCCAATCGAAGCAATCCCAGTTCATCTCTTTAAAAAAAAAAAAAAAGTTGACTTGATGGTTGCCAGAGGAGGGGCAAAGGAGAGGGAGAATGGGTAAATGGGGGAAGGGGAGTGGGAGGTATGGGCTTCCAGTTATGGAATGGATACGTCACAGGGAATGAAGGGTACAGGATAGGGAATATAGTCGGTGGTATTGTAATAGCGTTGAATGGTGACAGATGGTCGATACACATGTGGTGAGCACAGCATAGAGTAGTTGAACCACTATGTTGTTCACCTCAAACTAATGTAACATTGTGTGTCAGCTATACTCAAATAAAAAATATATATATATTTTAAAAATTCATTCTCTCTCCATCCAACCCTCCAAAAAAATATTTTTCAAAGATACCATATTGCCTAATCAACAAGGCAATTTCGTTAGCTTGGTTCAAAATTTCCCTCCCTTTTACTTTTAAAATCTAAGTCCTGTCTATCTTTAGGAATCAGGTCCCATTTCATCCAGGCATCTTTTCTCCCATTTCCCCACCAAGAGCGATCTTTCCCTTCAGTTTCTGTAGATTATATCCCACATCACTCATTGGTATGCTGCCTTGACTTGTTTGTTTTATATGCATGTGGCTTTTCCCCATTCAGATTGCAAATTTATTGGGAGCAGGGCCTGAGCATAATGCATTACACACAAAAGATGCTTAATACATGTTTGATGATGAAGACGGGGATGATTTTTCCTGATTTCAGGGTGTGTATAGGATGGGTTATGAGGGTGAGTGGCAAAGGAAAGATTCTGGAGGGAGGGGGATGAATTAATAAGGCTTTTACAGTCGCAGTCCAAAAGGGTGGTAAGGGCTTCAACTTACTAATTCCTTGGCTCAGAGCTGCATTGTATTGCCAGAAGAATTTTAGTGAGTTTGAAAAGAAAAGAAGGGGCAGGACTTTGGGACTGCTGTGAATTTATGTGGGGGTTGAGGGAGAGGTAGAAATCAGAAGTAACTGAACCTGAGTAACTTCAATAATGATAGTAGCATTAGAAAAAAGAAAGAAAGAAAGAAAGAAAAGAAAGAAAGAAAGAAAGAAAGAAAGAAAGAAAGAAAGAAAGAAAGAAAGAAAGAAAAAGAAAGAAGGAAAAAAAGAAATCAGAGATGGAAACCAGATGTAGAGGGGAGATGATGAAGTTTTTAAAATTTTTTTTAAAGATTTTTATTTATCTGACAGAGAGAGAGAGGGAGAAAGAGAGAGAGAACACAAGCAGGGGGAGGGGCAGAGGCAGAGGGAGATTCAGGCTCCCCAAAGAGCAAGGAGGCTGATGCGGGGCTCAATCCCAGGACCCTGGGATCATGACCTGAGCCAAAGGCAGACACTTAACCGACTGAGCCACCCAGGCGCCCGATGAGTTTGTTTTTAGACATACTGAATTTAGGGTAACTTGAGTAACCAAGTGGACATGTCTAGCAAGCTGTGAGATACACCCTACCCCCATTCAATTCAATGCAACAAATATTTACTGAACATCTACCATATGCCAGTCACTATGTTGGAGAGACCGTCAAAGAAGACACAAGCCCTGGCCTCCAGAACTCATGTTTGAGTGGGGAAGACAGACTAATAAATTCCTCTGGTATAAGGTAGTAAATGGTATAATTGAATTATATATAAAGTGCTATGGGGATATAAATAGGGGACGAATTGCGTCCAAGCAGGTGAGAAAAAGTTACAGGAGTGACGAGTTTTGAGCAAGGCCTGGAAAGATAAAGTAGAAGTTTGTTCAGTGAACAAATAGGGAAATGGCTTTCCAAGTGAAAGAAGTCTCGAGCGAAGGCACAGGACATGGAAGTGCGGGGCATTCTAGTAATCTGAAATGACTAAAGAGAGTGGGATGACGGAATAAAGATGGATGGAGCAAAAGAGGTGACAGGTGTCAGAAACTGGGCAGGAATTGTTACACTAGCCTGGGGAGGTGATCTAGTGCAGTGGTTAGAGGTGTGGACTAGTGTCAGACTCCCTGGGTCCAAATCCCATCTCTGCCACTTACTAGGTGTGTGGCCTTGAGTGAGTCCCTTAGTCTCTCTGTGCTCAGTTTTCCCATCTGTAAAATGGGACTGATGGTACCTGCCTCATAGGATTGCTCTGATGGTTGAGAGAGCTAGTATATGTAAACTGATTAGGGTCATGCCTGGCATTTAGTGAATGTTACGTAGAGGTTAGCCCAAGGGCTAAAAGGCAAGAAACAGAGCACTACACCATTGTGTACTACTCCCTCAGCAGCTTCAGAAGGAAACTATAAATGGGAACTAAGTCTCCGTCTCCAGATACTCTAAGCACACATCCGGGGAGCACTCGATGAATCTCCCCTTCTCACTGGAGCTGGAGTTTCTCGAGAGGGTGAGTTTCTCTGCCTTGGAAATGTAGGTCCAATTTAAGGAAAGGGTGAGGAGCCTGAGGGGGAAAAAATTCGAATGGCCAGAGTGGGACTGTTGATTCACAATAAATGGGAACTCTCATTAGGGCATTCCCTCCGGCAAGCGGAAATAAAACAAAATCAGGCAGCGATACCGCAAGCATATTTTATTTCAGTTAAGTAAGAAACAGAAAATTGGCCAGCAGGGACCTTAGAGGATGAGCGAACAGGCAGCAGGGTCCAGTGACAGTATTTTGCTGGGCTCGGAGTATGTGGGGATCCTCTGAAGGGGGCCAGCAATTGGAAATGCAGCCCTACCTTGCTAATGAAGCATATCTCGCCCCTGGAGTTCGGATGCTCTCAAGGAACCCATTGTGTGTTCCTCAGCTTTCTAGAACTCTACTTGAGTGCTCCTTGAATAGACTCTTGGAATGATTGTACTTCCCTGTGTGACTGCTCTATGTGCTGCTCAGATGGAACTGAACCTCGTCCGCCCACCCAGCCAGCCCAGGGGTTTCACTTGACAGAACTCGGTTTGAATTCTGGTTTTACCACTTGCTAGCTGAGTGATCTTGAGCAGGTCACTAAAATTGTCTGAGCTTCAGTTTCTCCATCTGTGAAACGGGAACGGAAATGGCTCCTCTGTTATGATAATTACACGAAAGAATTTATCTATAAAGCACTTGGAACATTAAGTCCTTTACACTTAAGCCACCCAAAGACCCCTGCTCTCATTTAAGCCCTTCTGGGGGCTTCCTCCCATCTAATGTCAAGAGTAGTAGAGATGGGAAGAAGGAGAAATCAGTATATGGAAAGACAGTGAAAAATGGTGGCTCTTTTTTCCAACACCCCCCCCCCCCACTCTGACTTTGTAGTAGAGATATTTTGATGTAGCCAGTATTCCAAAATAGGAAAGATATTCAGATGCTGGATGGCCGAAGATGAGAAATATCTACCGAGACATCATGAAAACTCTGTGAAAAATGTATCTACACATGCGTGTATTTACTGTGAAGTCACAGCTGTGCATTTGTATGTTTTAGGATGAGAAGGGGACAAGGAAAATCAAAAACATTTTTTTTAGGATGGTAGAAATAGATTGTTGTAATGTTATCTTAATATTGGTGTGCCTGTGGAGAGGGCTCCTCTCTTCCTGACATACTTATATCTCCTTGCCCTCTTTTCTTTTCTTTTTTTAAAAAGATTTTATTTATTTATTTGACAGAGACAGAGACAGCGAGAGCAGGAACACAGCAGGGGGAGAGGGAGAGGGAGAAGCAGGCTCCCCGCAGAGCAGGGAGCCCGATGCGGGGCTCGATCCCAGGACCCTGGGACCATGACCTGAGCCGAAGGCAGACGCTTAACGACTGAGCCACCCAGGCGTCCCTCCTTACCTTCTTTTCAAAAGAGCAGCAGGAGGAAAGGGTGCTGGAGTAAAGGGAATTGTACAGTGGGAATAACATGCCCCCATCTCATCTGTCCTTCTGCCCAGCCTTCCATTAACCATCATGATCTACCAGAGGCCGGAGAGCTTCCTGTCTGTGGTGCTTCAATGCCTTTGCATCATTAATATCATCATCTCTACCCTTCTTCTAGGAGAGGATCTAATGAGGGAGGTATGGAAGAAGTTCTGCATGCTTAGCTGTCAATCCGAACCTTTGAAAAGAGCCAGCAGGGGAAAAAGGCAGCAATCACTGTGTAATATTCTGGACTTTCTTGGCAGGTGAATACTGCTATGCATGAGGCAAAACTCATGGAAGAATGTGACGAGTTGGTAGAGATCATCCAGCAGAGGAAACAAATGATCGCTGTCAAAATCAAAGAGACAAAGGTAAAGCACGGAGCTTCAGTGAGGCCAAGGCAGAGTTGACTTTACAAATGTCAGAGTTTCATCCTGATAATTCCAGTTTGAATTTGGATCGTGAAAGTAAGAAGAAATGGGGTTGGAGGGAGGGAGGCAAAGAAGAGGCAATGTTTGGCCTAGTGCTACAAACCCGGTAAAAATGATGAGAGTTCTGGGGTATTGGAAATATTCTATACCTTGACCTAGTTGATGGTTACATGGGTGTGTGTGTATGCAACAACAACAACAAAAGTCACAGAGTTGTCCATTTCAGATGTGGGTGCTTTACTGTACGTATGTCATAAGTCAATCCAAAAAGAAAAAAGAAAAAAGTGATGGTAGAAATGTGGGCCAGAATTATGGAAGGACCATGCATGCTATTATATGGACTTTGGGCTTAATCAAAAAGGCATTGGGAAACCATTCTTGTTTCTTAGGAAGGGAGAGACTGATATGGCAGAAGTATGCAGGGTGGATCCAAATAGGATGATACTGAAGTCAGGGAAGCAATCTCAGAGGCTTATGGAATGACTCTCGATGGGAGTTGATGAAGACCTAAACCAGGGAAATGCCAGCACGAATGGAAGGGAAGGATAGAACAGGCATTACTAGAAAGGAAATGATGGATGTCATCGACTGATCGGCTGTAAAAGATGAAGGGGAAAGAGAAGACTTCCAGGTTTTTAACCTGGGAACTGAAGAAGCATGGTCAAGGTCAGGTGTGAACCTCCATGCATCTGTATGTTTGTAGGCTTATTGGTCTGCCGGTCAGGGTAGTGATTATAAGCTAATGCTGGGTATACAATGTGAGGAGTTATGAGAGTCTGGAGTGATGATCAATACTTTGTGCCAAGCTGGGTGGTGCCAGCTACCGTAGGAATTGAAATTTCTGAGAACACAGATCTGTGAACGCACAGGTGTGCATAAGGATCCGTAGAGAAATACATACATCAGAATGTAGATCCTCATAAAGAACAAGGAGGTACTTTTTATTAAACACGGTTGTGAAAATATATCGACCGTAAAATGTATTGATGTTGATCCCTGGGTGGCAGGGTTTCCTTTTATACTTTTTGTTTTCTAAATACTCTATAGTGAGCATGCACTGTTGTTCTAGTAAAAAAATTAAGGTTATCAATAAAAAAGAGGAGGTAGATGACCGAGAGTATATGCCAGGGTGTGTCGCAGCCTAAGTAAGTGGCCTGTAGGTGGAAAGAGGGGCTGGCACGACATAGATGGAGGGTGAGAAGCTGAGTGGTTCGCACAGGGGCCATGGGATATTAACAGGCCTTATATTTAGAATCACCGCAGTAGATCACCTTCGTGTTGTTGTATCGTTTTTAATTAAGCCCTGCATATTGAAGCTCATTTTTCTTCTGCTCATTCCTTTAAGGTTATGAAACTGAGAAAGTTGGCACAGCAGGTGGCTAATTGCCGCCAGTGTCTTGAGCGGTCAACGGTCCTCATCAACCAGGCTGAACATATTCTGAAGGAAAATGACCAGGCCCGGTTTCTCCAGTCTGCAAAAAATATTGCCGAGAGGTGAGCTCCTCCTGGTCTTTTCTCCAGGCCTGCCCTTAGGAAAAGGGTGCAGCCAGAAGTCACTTGATTCTGTTTGGGCATGTACGCAGCAGCTGCCAGCTCATTTTACTAAAGCCCCGGTGGTACGTTTGCTCTGTGCATTTCCGGCACCCTTCTCTCTGGGTAGCTTTACCGCTTCCCCCAGTGCACCACAGACCTGGCTCTGCCCTAGCTCTCCGCTGCCCACTCAGTGCTGCAGTTTTCTTCTTTTTTTTAAAGATTTTATCTATTTATTTGTCAGAGAGAGAGCACAAGCAGGGTGAGCGGCAGGCAGAGGGGGAAGCAGGCTCCCCGCGGAGCAGGGAGCCCGATGCGGGGCTCCATCCCAGGACCCTGGGATCATGACCTGAGCCGAAGGCAGACGCCCAACCGACTGAGCCACCCAGGCGTCCCAATGTGCTGGAGCTTTCTATGTTGGTGTTAGCATAGGGGCAGAGAGACTTTTGGCCACAGAGATAGGTGTGTCTTTGTGCAGCTTTTATTGCTTTCATTTCGTTCTCTCTCACAGATGGATAGAGCAGTAATTCTCAGGCTTTTATTTAATCAGTCACCCCTTGAAAACGTGATGGATGTCCTGAGCCCTCTTCCTGAGGGGAAAATGCATATTAGATATATACACGTGGAATTTTGCCTACGATCCCAGAGGACTCATGGATCTTTCGAAGGCCATCTATACACCACGTGCAAAGAATCTGAAGTCTAAAGTGGAACACTGCTCAGTAGAGTCACGGGGCTCCAGAGACTCATTAGGCGAATCTGACGTCCTTCTATCTCTCTCATTTACTGAAGGCTTTGGCTCCACGTTCACAGTATTCCTTCCTGTTGTTTCTGCCATCATTCCGGGTGACACTGGCAGCATCCACATGGCTGACCCCATCTAATACGCCAGCCATCCATTCTCCTGGCTCCTTGCCATTCCCTCCTCCAGTGACCCTCACCTCTGCTCCCCTTCATCTACCCACTTCCGCGGCTCCCATGCTGAACTCGCTACAACCTCTGTATTTACAGTGGATTGCTTTTCTTCCAAAGCTTCTAGTCTTCAACTGCATCGGGACCCCTAAGGCCCAACTCCTACCTACCACCTACTGTCTTTACTTCTTTCTTTGGCCTGTTGAGGGTCTGTGATTTCTCACTTCAGCTGCTCACTCTCGTTGCAGTATACCCACTTTCCTGGCCCCACTGTCTTTTTATCACACCAACCATCCTGATCGAACCCCCAACCCTGAATCATCCCAGCTCTCTCCACCTTTTCTTTTTCTTTTTAAAAATATTTTATTTATTTATTTGAGAGACAAAGATAGTGTGAGAGAGAGCACGAGTGGGGAGGAGAGGGAGAAGCAGGCTTCCCGCTGAGCAGGGAGCCTGTTGTGGGGCTCCATCCCAGGACCCTGGGATCATGACCTGAGCCGAAGGCAGACGCTTAACCAACTGAGCCACCCAGGTGGCCCTCTTCCCACCTTTTCCATGTCTGTATTTGAGTTGCAGAACCCAGCTAGAGAAAACCACATAATCAAAGAGGTTGGTACTACCGCACTACACATTTATGGCTTCTAATCTCACCGGGGCCCCCAAATCCTTCTGTGTCGCTTTGGTCAGCTTTCTTTTTGCTTTGTCTCCCTAATGGCTATTTCAGATTTTCTGTGTTCAACTCAAAAATTCCAACCCTGCCACCTTCCCGCTCATGCTCAGCAAATGACTTCATGTCCTATTTTAGAAAGAGACAAAAAGTGGTAGGTATGAAAGCACAAAGTTCTCAGCTTCTCAAACCGAACTGCTGGCCATACCTACATCCACATCCATGACTTCTGCCTCCACCCGCCTTTTTTTAAGTAAGCTCCATGCCCAGCGTGGAGCCCAAGGCGGAGCTTGAACTCACAATCCTGAGATCAAGACCTGAGCTGAGATTAAGAGTTAGATCAAGCTTAACCGACTGAGCCACCTAGGCGCCCCTCCCTTTTGATTATAGTAGAAGAGATGTCCCTTCATTTGTGTTTTGGCCACATGCTTCCTTTTTTTCCATAGCTTCAGTTTCTCCCTTTCTCTAGTTGACTTCACATGCACTTTTAAACCCACTCATGTCTCTCCTATCTAAAAAATATAATACCCACAGCTTTCTTCTCCCTCATACCCCCTCTAGCTATCGCCCTATCCCTCTCTTTCCCACATAGCAAACTTCTTCAAAGACAATGCCATTTCCTCACCTCTGACTTACTCTTCTTCAACATTAAAAGTTATTTATATTAAAGTAATACTTGTGCATAGTTAAAAAGTCAGATATTACTAATAGTCATATTACAAATAATAGCAGTCTTCTCCTCACCACTGATTTCTGTTCTCCCATAAGAATAATATTGAGCATTTACTCTGTGTTGAGCATTATTCTAAGCCCTTGTAGGTGTTTACTTATTTAATCCTCACAAGAACCTCATGAGATAGATGCTATTATTATCCCCATTTTACAAGTGAGAGAATGAGGCTCAGAGAGGTTATGTGATTCGCTTAAGATCACCCAACTAGTAAGGGATAGAGGCAGGATTCAAAACTAGGCAGTCTAGTGCCATAGTCTACACTTTTTCCAACAAAGCCAAGCAATTTCAACTCTGTTAGGTATTTCTTTTGGCATGACCTTTACATTTCTTTTTTTTTTTTTTAAAGATTTTATTTATTTATTTGATAGAGAGAGAGATAGCTAGAGCAGGAACACAAGCAGGGGGAGTGGGAGAGGGAGAGGCAGGCTTCCTGCTGAGCAGGGAGCCCGATGTGGAACTCGATCCCAGGACCCCAGGATCATGACCTGAGCCGAAGGCAGACGCTTAATGACTGAGCCACCCAGGCGCCCAGACCTTTACATTTCTAAATAACGTCCTTATATTGTTATTTTCCCCCCAATTTTAGACATTAACAATTGACTTCTGCAACCTGGAAATTTGTCAGCCATCATTTCCTCAAATTTTAAAAAGATTTTATTTCTTTATCTGAGAGAGAGAGAGAGAGAGAGAGAGAGAGCAGGTGGAGGGGTGGAGAGAGGGAGAGAATCCCAAGCAGACTTCACACTGAGCACGGAGCCTGATGTGGGGCTTGATCTCATGACCCTGAGATCCTGATCTGAGCCGAAACCAAGAGTTGGATGCTTAACCGACTGAGCCACCCAGGTGTTCCTCTCAAGTATTCTTCATGCCATCCCCTTCCTTTCTTATGCAGACTCCAATTACATGTATGTTAGGCTGCTTCAAGTTTGTCTCAGCTCACTGATGCTCTGTTCATATTTTAGCCATTTTTTTCCCTCTGTGTGTTTCATTTTGATAGTTTCTCTTTTTTTAAGATTTTATTTATTTAGTTGAGAGAGAGAACACAAGTGGGGGGAGGGGCAGAGGGAGAAACAGACTCCCTGCTGAGCAGGGAGCCCAATGCGGAGCTCGATCCCGGGACTCAGAAATCATGATCTGAGCCAAAGGCAGATACTTAACCTACTGAATCACTCATGTGCCCCTCATTTTGATAGTTTCTAATATGTCTTGGCATTCACTAACCTTTTCTTCTATAATGCCTAATCTGCCATTAATCTCTCCAGTGTATTTTTCATCTCAGACATTGTAGTTTTCATCTCTAGAAGTTCACTTTGGGTCTTTCAATAACATCCATATCTCTACTTAACATATTTAACTTTTCCTCTAGCTTTTGAATATATGGCATGCAACACTAATTCAAAAAGATGTATGCACCCGTGTTTATTGCATTATTTACAATAGCCAAGCAACCTACATGTCCATTGGTATATGAATAGATAAAGAAAATATAATACACACACACACACACACACACACAGGACTATTACACAGCCATAAAAAAGGATGCGATCTTGCCATTTGCAACATGCTAAGTGAAATAAGTCAGACTGAGAAAGACAAATACCGTATGATTTCACTCATGTGGAATCTAAAACAAAACAAAACAAAAACAAAACAAGTGAATAAACAAACAAAAAGCAGAATCAGACTTACAAATATGGAGAACAAACTGACAGTTGCCAAGGGCAAGCGGGTGGGAGATGGGCAAAATGGGTGAAGGGCAGAGGGAGATACAGGCTTCCAGTTATGGAATGAGTAAGTCACGGGAATAAAAGACACAGTATAGGGAATATAGTCAATGCCATTGTAATAGCAATGTATGGTGACAGATGGGAGCTACACTTGTGGTGAGCACAGCGTAACGTATAGACTTGTCAAAACACTGTGTTGTATGCCTCAAACTAATGTAACATTGTGTGTCAGCTATACTCAAAAGAAAATTAAAATCAAAATGTGGACAGAGCATGGAATACAGTTATCATAACTGTCATAATGTCTTATTCTAACATCCATGTCAGTTCTGGGTCAGTTTCAATTGATTGCTTTTTCTCCTCATTTTGGGTTGTATTTTCTTCCTTCTTTGCCTATCTGATCTTTTTTTTTTTTTTTTTTTTGGATGTTAGACATAATGAAATTTATCTTATTGGGTGCTGTATATTTTTGTATTTCTATAAATATTCTTAAGCTTCATTCTAGGACACAGTTAAGTTACTTGAAAATAGCTTGATCCCTTTGGGTCTTGTTTTTAAGATTTGTTAGGTGAAATCAGAGCAGTGTTTAGTCTGAAGCACATTTGTCCGCACTAGTGAGGCAAGACGTTTCTGAGTACTCTCCTGAGTGCTCCATGCATCATGAGATTTTCCAGTCTGTCTCTTGGGAACAGACACTCTTCCTGATCCTTTGTGAGCACCAGGGATTATTCCCTTTCATCCTTTAAAAAACAATTTTTTTTTAATTTATTCATTTGAGAGAGAGTAAGAGCACAAGCAAGGGGGAGGGTCAGAGGGAAAGGGAGAAGACTCCCCTGCTGAGCAGGGAGCCCAACGTGGGGCTCGATCCCAGGACCCCAGGATCATGACCTGAGCTGAAGGCAGATGCTTAACCGACTGAGCC